GCGCCTTGGCGCCAGTCGGCCCAGACTCCGGAGGGAACCTGTCGTCTTCTCCCCCACGTCAATCTTCATCTTCCTCTGAAGCTTGAGTACCAAGTCTACGTCACCTCCTCCCTTCTTCACTTCAGTCCTCTTCCTATCATCATCCTCTTCCTCTCGTAAAACGTCCTTCGCCGGGAGGGGAGAAACGAGCAAGAACAAAAGGTACTTACCTGCCCTCACCTGCGTGTCCTCCTGGCAAGGAGCCGGCAGCAGGAGGGTCCCCCGGAGCGTCGGATCCGGAGTCACTGCAAATTTACAACATTAACAAGTTGTTCCATACAAAGCCAGAAAATTTTACAAAGTCATTCTACAGAATTGTAAAAACAGGGAAAGACCAGAGCTGCTGGAGTGCAATAATTAGCTATAAACTACTTTTTGGCTCACGTCTGAATTACAGACTTACCAGCAAGTTTTAGGTATAAATACAGTACATTTGTCAAGACTCTAAACACAGAGGTCTGTCTGGCTTCTCTTGCACAAGTCCACAGTGCATCTGAGTGTGCAGTGCACCTCAGTAATCCATTCATCCTAAAACCGAGTAAAACTCAACCAAAACCTCATAACATGATCTTTTCAATATAAAATGTACATCTCTGTAAAGTATTCTAGTGGGATTTTGGCTGGGTGCCATTTTTTTATTTTTTTCCATGATCTAAAACCTGAATTTCGACACCTACAAACTAACTGTCCTGTCAACTCCAAGCGCTATTACAGTTTAATGTCCATCGTTGACTCCCGGGCAGAAGATTGCGGCAGAATAGTTGGATTTAATATTTGATTTTATCGTCATCATTTTCATTCCTCTATTTTATTTGCTTCCATGTTAGAAAAATTGTAAATTTGTTTAGAAAGCTCTGAATAAATAAAACTCAGTTGCTAGAATGTCCCATCTTTATTGTCCAGGATCACAAAGGAGTTATGCTATCTCTAGTGGATGCAGTATTTGGAGAGATAGGGCTGTCCAGATAAGATCGCCCATATTCATACAAACAAGTAAATAATGTTGATTCTACAGTGGGAGCATTATTCACTGGCCTAAATTGGCCTGTCGATATGTGCTACTTTAGTCGGAGCCCTATTGATAGCATAATACAATGTCGAATATTCATAGCATATAAAAGATGATTGAAATGTACATGACTTAGGTTAAAGTGTGATCACCGTGTGCAAACAGCGGCGACCATAACAACGGCGGCCCATATCAACGGCGGCAGTTTTCCAGAAAATACTTTGATAACTTTTTACTTGTCTACCAAGAAAAATAGGCCCCTTTACAGTTATTATTACAACCACGTAAGTAATCGATGAAAGTCATAATCTCAATTAAGCAGTTTCATATTCGACCTATGATACCATTTTACCCCTAACCGAGTAGATAGCCATGCGTGGATAAAATGTTGCAACATGTAGCATTTAGTTCATTTTATCTGTTTCACGAAGATTTCAGTGATCTGTTTACCTCAGGGAAGAGGTCCAGGCGGGCAACAGGGCGAGCCATGGTTGACTTAGTGAGTTGCAAACCTTGAAGAGTTAAAGTAGGTTAGAAAGTGTGCTGATGCAAAGTGTTTTTTTTTCAAGAAATATTGGTATTAAGGATCTCAAGTGTATTTACCAGCAGCGCGATATGCGTGAAATCTCTCACTCCAGCGTTAGTGAAAACAGACCGATTTAAAGATGCAGCGCTTTATATGTCCCCGCGCCTGTAGTTGCTATGGCGCGACGCACGGACGTGTCTCACGTTCACGGGTTTAGGAAAAGAACTTTAACTTCACCTAAAGTGTAATCTATCCGCGATGTCGGCGGCAAGGTGGGGCATTTTGAGGGCCGTGCCCCCTGCGCCACTGGTGCACCCCCAACAGGCCGTTATTATTACTATTTAAAATGATTTTGTTGGCGATTTCACTTCGGGCTGAGGGCAAAACTTTACATATACAGTCTCTGTTTATTTAGTGTAGTGTGATTGGAACTGTTCTGTCCGTAACTGCTGCGTCAACAAGTAGCTCTTCACGATTAGCGGAGCTGCTACTTTAGCCTAAGTCCACACAGGAAATTGGGAGGACAGAGTCAAAGACACACTGACAGACCTCCGCCGGGACCGGGACTGTCGCGCCCGGACTCGGGAAGTTCTGCGGGACTGGGGCAGTTGCACCGGGCCAGGGCTCTCGCGGCCGCCGCCGGGGCCAGGGCAGTCGCTCGCTGCTCTATCCGCCTTTGCCCGCTCGTTTCTGGTGTAAAAGTTTGACCTGAGCATATCACGCAGAGGCATAATTCTACCTGGTGTCCTGGTGCTGATATGGACTGACCGTAACTTTCACATTTAAGTGGGAAGTGGGATTAAGACTAATTTACAACCATCTTGTGCACTCGGCTCCTGGACTCGCGTCACGGACCAGTTTCATCTCTTCATATTGGACAATAGACTTTTGGAGACAGAACCAATGGGACAGTGGACAGAGGAAACACTCTGCTTCAGTCTCTGGAAGGTAAGAGGCTGGTTTTCATTAGTTTGCGGCAAATCTGAACATGAAGCTCACAGGTAAAGAGTGTATAGTGTTAATAGTTAAATATATGTGTTATAGTTAAATAGTGTTATAGTGTTAATAGTTAAATAGTGCGTAAATGAGCTCGCGAGTGCGATGGAGCTGCTCTGGTTGTTCTGTCGTGTGCTGTAGGAGCGGCATCTGTGTTCATGTTGTGATCGTAGCCTCTTATTGTAGTTTTGCTGACGTTGTTGGGTCTGGGTGTGAGCGGCGTGTTACGTTGTGTTGTTGCGTAAAGTTTGCGCTTGGCTGTTCATTGTGCTCTGATCGATATTGTTCAGCCAATAGTAACCAAAATGTCTGTTTCTGGTATTTATTATAATACTATAGACTAGATATATAATACATATATTGTTAGTAATATATATTTATAATTTTGGCCTTGGTGCCCCTCCCCAAAAATTATACCACCAGCTGCCACTGGTCCTGTTTTAGTCCTGGTTTAGTCCCGGTCCCTCAAGTCTCAGGTCTCTATAAGACAGTACTGGACGGCGCACCCTCGCGTACCACGCACACTACAGCCCTGGTGCTGTCCGATGCGTGGCTATTTCTTGCCCGATTGCTTCTTTCAGTGATGTTGTTCAGGGGTGTTTTTGACGAGAGGCTGTTGTTTAATGTTTACAACCAGTGGCAGGCCTTATTGTTTTTTTTTTAATAAACCTCAACCTTTTATTATTGTCTTGTGTGCGTATCGTCTACCATACAGCCTCAACAACTATTGCAGCTAATAATAATAATTTTAATAAAATAATGATAAAAATAACAACAACACATAATTAACCTAATACCGTTAAAGAAAAACGTGTTTGATAGCATTTCTGCTTTGTATGACTCCACCGCGTTAAAATATTTCTGAAATGGCAGTGCCGCCCCTGCTGGTGACCCACGCCCCTCCAGTAGATGTGCTCTGACGCCGACTCTGCCGATCACGCTTTATGGACACCACGCTCCGTGCACAGCCTGCTCCGTGGAGCGCGCACACCCAGCTCCGCTCTCTTTTGCGCTCAACTCCAAGGTTAGTCCCGGTTTAGTCCTGCTGGTTCGGTTCTAGTTCAGTCTGTATGCGGCGAAAAAATGTGGCATCTCGATCACTGTTTCTTCTGGGACGCGCACTTCTGCTTAATGCGCCTTATAATCAGGTGCACAGAGTCCCAAAAATCTCTCTTATGTTGCTTATTACAGAATGTTGTGTAGGCACCATAAAAACATAATAGTGTACATAATAACTACACAATAACAACAGCAACAGCCATGATGATGACTATAATAGTAATAGTTAAAGTTTATCTATAGCACATGATCAGACATGCTGCATAATAACACTGTCAGTGAACTGGTGGAAAACCAAGTCCATGTGCACTGCACTTTGTGTAGAGTGATTAAAAACTGTAAGGATTGTCATAATTGTATTATAATTTCCATTATTATATCTTAAAGTGACTCAGAAATAGACTGCATTTTGTCACAGCAAGTGCAATTTTGTCCAACACACCAACAACTTTCTCTCTGTCTCTTTCTCTCTCTGTCTCTATCTTTCTCTCTCTCTTTCTCTCTCATTTTATGTTTGTCTCTATCTTTTTCTCTCTCTTTCTCTCCCTCTCTATGTCTGTCTGTCTTTTTCTCTCTTTCTCTGTCTCTTTCTCTCTGTGTCTGTCTTTATCTTTCTCTCTTTCTTTTTCTCTGTTCTTTGCACACTGTTCTTTGGTTGTTTGATTTTTTCCGTAATTGTCAGCACCTATTGTTTGGCATGTATGTTTTTTTTTTCTCCTTAAGTTAATTGTTTTCCAATGATGAAATTTCTGAGTTGCCACTAAATGTTTGTATATTATGAGGTGATTGTGTGTAATGGCTGCACTGTTGCCGCACGCTTCATTGTCGCGCTGCCACACTATGGCTCTATATATTTTCCTGCTTTTTTGTCCTTGGCCAATCACATCCCTGTTTTATTTCACACAGGAGGAGAGTCCACAAATGTAGCTCAAATGTGTCTTGTTTTATCTCAGAGCTTGTCCAAAGTCCAAACTCTTTATTAAGTGTAAACTGTCTGCATCAAATTGGTCCTGGTTGTGCCATTAGAACTTAGATTTCTCTGAGTCAATATCAAAAGTGCAATAAATAAAACTAGTTTAAAACATAATTTAGCCATATATGACAAGCCAGAGCTACTATGTCTTTGCCCAAAGAGTTTCCAACAGAAGTAATCAGACCTACAGAATGAAAGCTGTGCACAAAAAGTTCAATTAATGAAATAAATAGAGATGTGCATGTTCAAAACAATGTGGAAAAAAACGAAAATAAATATATATTACAAAAAAAAAAAAAATAAAAATCATGGTGAGGCCCCCAACTCTAGTTCACCTAGGGCCCCCAAATTGCCAACTCCACCACTGCTCACATGAACCAGGAAATGATTTAGAGGAGGAGCAACAGCAGCAGCAGAAGTTCACATGAAATGAACTTTAAACCAGAGAGAAGACAGAGCTGTGTGGAGTGTTTTGCACAAAGAGGAATCAAACCATCAACGTTTCTGTTTATATCAACCTGAACTAAAGCTTCTGGTGAGTAAAATGATACATAATAGGCCATAAGAAAGTCAAGGATGAGTATGTTGGTTGATTAAAGCTACAGTGACGATGTCGTGTACTAACTCTGCATGCAGTATATGAACAACTAATGGTGACATTATTTGAGTAGTATTTTGGATATTTTGGATACATCAATATTATGAAAACTTGTGTAAAAGTATCTATTAAAGCCAATAATCTGCTTCAAAGTTCTGTACAGTGACATGATCAGTCTGGGTGTGTCATGAGTCATCTGTGCCTTTATCTGACTGTGATTTCCAAAGATGAAGTTCACTTGCAAATACAAACAACAGACTGTTTTACACATAGACTGTATAAAGTGGACTAAGGGAGTGTGGTGTCACCCACAGTGTTTGGCGCCACTTAAATGAAGCTCACAGTGCTAGTGGTTACAGGGGCAAATTTGGAGCCAGGCTCTGTATTAGAAATACAATATTTTTTTAAAAAGAGAAAATAGCAAAAAAACAAAAAAACACCAGGATCATGTGGAACTGGTTAATATGAACATTTTTAGACCAAAATGACGAGTTGAGAGTATAAGTCAATGGGAGCCAGAACAGCCACATGTGAACTTCTTATTTGGAATGCAGCGGCTTGTACATTAATTATATCCATTTATATAGACAGCTTATGGTTTTACATGAGCATAAACACAAAACTCAGAATTGGACTTTTCTGTGTCATCAGTGCATTCTGTGGCTCTGTCACTGTGAATGTCAGAGTCAGACGAACACTGAACCAAATGTTCTCTCTCCTGTTGTAGTGATGGCCGCTGTGAGCTGTACTCTCTCTGAGGAGCAGTTCCTGTGCTCCATCTGTCTGGAGGTCTTCACTGATCCAGTCACTACACCGTGTGGACACAGCTTCTGCAGAGTCTGTATCAACAAACACTGGGACAGCAGCGACCAATACAACTGCCCAGTCTGTCAACAGGACTTCAGCTCAAGACCTCAGATGAAAATCAACACTGTTCTGGCAGAAATGGTCTCTCAGTTCAGAAATAAACCTGAAGATGAAGAAACTGTGAGCTCCAAACCCCAGTCCACTGCTCCAGGAGAAGTGAGCTGTGATGTGTGTCCAGAGCCCAGACTCAGAGCCCTGAAGTCCTGCCTGGTGTGTCTGGCCTCGTACTGTCAGATCCACCTGCAGCCCCACCTCACAAACCCCCGTCTGAAGAGGCACCAGCTGATCCAACCTCTGCCCAACCTGGAGGAGCGCATCTGCCCTGAGCACGACCGACCTCTGGAGCTCTTCTGTAGGGAACACTCACACTTCATGTGCATGCAGTGCGGTTATACAGAGCACCAAACTCATGATACAGTCCCCCTGAAGGAGGAGGGTGAGGAGCACCAGGCCACGCTGAAGAATCAGATTAAAGAAAGACGTCAGAAAATCGAGGAGATCCGGCGCTCAGTGGAGCTCAGTCAGAGAAAAGCAGACACAGAAATACAAGAAGGTCTCAGAGTCTACAACGCTTTGATGGAGTGTGTTCAACAAAGTCTGGACAAGTTCAAACAGAACATTGTAGAGAAGCACAAGAAGAACGAGGAGGAGGCAGCTCAGCTGATAGAGCAGATCCAGACAGAGATCTCTGCGCTGGAGCAGAGAGGAGCTGAGATGGAGCAGCTCTGGAGCTCTGGAGACCACCTGCACTTTGTACAAACCTTCACTTCAGTCAAACCTGCTCCACAGCTCAATGACTGGACCGAGGAGACTGTGAGGGCCCCATCGTACAAGGGGAGAGCGGGCCAGGCTCTGTCTGATCTGAAGAAGACACTTAATACAGAGATGGAGAAGTTCTTTAAGACTGAATTAGAAAAAGTACAAGAGTTTGCAGTGGAGGTGTCTCTAGACCCAGACACAGCACATCCAAAATTAGTTCTGTCTAAAGATCTCAAACAGGTTCATTACAGAAACCAAAGACAAACTCTTCCAGATAATCCTGAGAGATTTTCAAGGTTTTTTTGTGTTTTAGGAAAACAAAAGTTCTCATCAGAAAAGTTTTATTTTGAGGTCCAGGTCAAAGGAAAGACTCAATGGGAATTAGGAGTGGCCAAAGAGTCAGTGGACAGAAAAGCTGAAGATGATCAAACTGTACAGAGAGGATACTGGACACTCTATATTGGCAGAGCTAAGTATATAACGTCAGACGATCCCCCTGTACTTTTCCCTGTGACATCCTCTCCAGAGAAGGTGGGAGTGTTTGTGGATTATGATGAAGGTCTTGTCTCTTTCTATGATGTGGATGAAGAATCTCTTATTTACTCTTTCACTGACTGTGGTTTCACTGAGAACATTCGGCCACTTTTAATTCCATATGGCAATGCTAAAGGTACAAACTCTGCTCCTCTGATACTTTCCCCCATTAACAGTTCTGCAGAATAAAGATCATCTCATAGAAGAGAGATATCCATCAATCACACTCCTGGTGGGAACAAAACAATTAGAACATGTTAGCAGGTAGTTGGATTTTTGTCATTTATTTATTATCAAGAAAGTTTGAGTTTATATTTAGTTTAGTTGATGTTTCTGCACAAACTGGATTCAATGTGCCCAAAGACAGAGGTCAGCTGACTCCCTGAATATATTAAAGGACCAGGTTACTTTCTTCACTGGTTCTGGAATAACTTTCTATTTCTATGTTTCTATGTTTTCTTCTTTGCTTGTTTACATTGTTTATGAAAATAGGCTGCACATAAATCAAGATGGTGAGGATTGTTAAATGAACTCAGTATAAACTTTCTATTTAGACGTCTGTAGTGTAATCTGCAGGGACGTTAAAGGGCCCATATTACACTATTTTCTGATCTATGTTATAATGCTGTTACGTCTTCAAAAACCCACCCAGATTTGAGTTTTGTTTCATTCACAAAAAAAAGCTCACAAGAGTCAGTTTTGTGTAACACTTTAATATAATGCATAATATATACCATTGTTTCCCAAAGCCTGGGTCGTGACCCTCAGGTGGGTCACACGAGATCTTTTTTTGGGTCATCTTGTCACGATCTAGCCTGATTCATCAGCCAGTTTCACTTCATGGAAACCGTCTGACCTCGCAGCATTAGGATTCATTTGCTCGACAGTAGGCGGGTACTTTTTTATTTAAACAATCGCTGCTATTTGGTTGTGATGTATGTAATGCGCCATTAACGGGGCTAACTGGTATATTAAGCTTTTCCCAAATCCTGTAGGAAGAAGGGCAATAATGTGTTTCCCCTTGATAAAATTCACCAAACATTCTCTTTATTCCGACTTTAAATCTTTGATCTCGGGAATTGTTGCCAACACAGAATATATGGCTCTTTAATGATTGGCTGGTGCCCGAACTTGCACTTTTGGGGTTCTTGCAAATCGTCTAGTGTATTCTGATTGCTGACCTAGTCGCTGGAGAGAAATTAAATTGAGTGGAGGCATTAGGTGGCACCAGCCTGACTAGTCATGATCTGCATTTCTACTTGATCTGCGCCTGCGTTCTCCTCCTGCACCAGGACTGGAACGTGCTACAAAAACACAGACAGGCCCACCTGTCTCATTATAAATGATAAAATGTTACGACATGTTTTGTATAATTTTTAATCTTTTTCATAATTATTTTATTGACTATTTTGTTTCAGTATCGCTGGTTCATTTGGATGTTGAAAAGAAAAATAAATGGGCTACATTTAATGTCTAAATAGGTGACTTATGGATCTTTTTATTGCTGCTTCAATCACAGTTTTTCATTCTTTCAAACTTGAATAATAGTAATTGTTCAGAGAGACACGATCAGTCAGTCAACAATAAAATATCCTCATTAATGTTCAGTAATGGTCAAATCCACCTTTGTTTTGTGATTTATGAATAATGTCTCTTGACTTGGGTCGCGAAGGACTGTGACTTTTAAAATATGGGTCCCCAGAAAAAAAGTTTGGGAAACACTGTTATATACGAAACTCACGATTAGTGCAGAAGTCACTGATCAGCCATTATTTTTTCCATCAATGTACTTAGTCAAACTATTATTTCTATTGTGAACTTATATTTTGATTTTAAGCAACAAAAAAAGGTCAAAATATTGTGGTTGGAGATTTATGTATTTACAGATAAACTGTATTAATGAAGAAAATCAGAAATAATTTTTTCTTCTTTGATAACTGATATTTATAGATCAGACAGTAAACAAAGAAGAGGATTTTTATCGTGGACTTCCTTTGTCTCTCTTTTTAAGTTGTAATTACATGATAAATACAGGAAAAGAAAACTAAGAATCTTATGTAAACACTTTTGATTTATGATTTTGTCACTGACTTATTTTGTGTCACAATCTGTTATGGTGCAGGGAAAATAAATGATATGGAGTAACCATGGCAACAGTTTTTTCTATTTTAACTGTTATTTATGTTAAAGGGCTCATATTATGCTATTTTCTGATCTATGTTATAATGTTGTTTCTTCATCAAAAACAGACCTGGAGTTGTGTTTTGTTTCATTCACACATGAACAAAAAGTGAAAGGAGCTGTCAATCGAAAACTACCACTGCATGACATCACAAGGTGGAACAGAGCATTTTGAGCTTTGGAGATATAAACAGATGAATAATAAAGAGTTACTCAAACATGTGAGTAAAGCAAACATAACTCCAGGTCTGTTTTTGTTGTTACACCAAACCAGCTGTTGTGAAGGTTCAGTTGTGCTTTTGATCTCTGTGGATGAAAATAGTTCATAATTCTGGCTCTGGGGGCATTTGGTGATTTGCAGGTCAAATAAGATTAATTTAACTCATTTTTACTTGGAAAAACACAAATTTCTACCACAGTTTCTCTGGGTGAGAAGTAACGTAGTCCAAAGTCCAAACTCTTTATTAAGTGTAAACTGAGTGCATCAAATTGGTCCTGGTTGTGCCATCAGAACTTAGATTTCTCTGACTCAATATCAAAAGTGCAATAAATAAAACTAGTTTAAAACGTGATCTAGCCATATATGACAAGCCAGAGCTACTATGTCCTTTGCCCAAATAGTTCCCAGGAAAATTAATCAGACTACAGAATGAAAACTGTGCACAAAAGCTGCATGTTTTTGTTTTTTTGTTTGTTTTTTTTTTTTTCTCACTCCAGCCTCAATGTTAAAATGCACCAAAAAAAAAAAAAAAAAAGGAAAAAACACAGCTTCACCCTGATTTGAACATAATCACAGCATAATACTAATAATCATATGTAATGGATGTAAACAGAAATGTAATTGTACTTGCAAAAAAATAAAACTACTGTCAGTTCTGGTTATGTAGTGGGTTACCGAACTATAAAGACACATTTCCAGTTCACCATAATTCAAATAAATAGAGATGTGCATGTCTCAAGAGCAATGGGGAAAACCAGAAAATAAATATATATTAAAAAAAAAAAAATCATAGTGAGGTCCCCAAACTCTAGTTCACCTAGGGCCCCAAAATTGCCAACTCCACCACTGCTCACATGAACCAGGAAGTGATTTAGAGGAGGAGCAACAGCAGCAGCAGTTCACACGAAATGAAAGTTAAACCAGAGAGAAGACAGAGCTGTGTGGAGTGTTTTGCACAAAGAGGAGTCAAACCATCAACGTTTCTGTTTATATCAACCTGAACTAAAGCTTCTGGTGAGTAAAATGATACATAATAGGCCATAAGAAAGTCAAGGATGAGTATGTTGGTTGATTAAAGCTACAGTGATCAGTCTGGGTGTGTCATAGGTAATCTGTGTCGTTATCTGACTGTGATTTCCAAGGACGAAGTTCATTTGTAAATACAGACTGTTTTACATGAGAGCGAGCAGGAAGAGAAACATGTAAATAAACTTAAAACTCAGACTTTTCTGTGTCATCAGTACATTCTGTGGCTCTGTTACTGTGAATGTGCCTATGACGAAGAAATGAACTAATCATTTTATTAAAAACAGTTAAGATCATTACATTTAAGATTTCACAAAATAACAAAAATGACAGATTTTTAGGATCAAAATTAAACTTCCTGGTTGGAAATCATGACACATCTCATTACTTAAAAAAAAAAAAAAAAGTTTTCCTATACATTTTTTTCTTGTTTAAATAATCAAAAAAAAAAAAAAAAAAAAAAAAAAAAAATATATATATATATATATATATATATATATATATATATATATATATGTAGTGTGTGTTTCCTACGTAAAATTTGTGCATAACTTTTGGACAGATGAGATCAAGTGTAAGTCTCTACTTCCTGTAATTTTCAACATATTTTAAACATTTCTCCACAAATTGCTTCTTGGTTGGTTTAAAACTATAATTTATATTTGCACCAAGTATTATCCCAGTAAAATGATACATAATAGGCCATAAGAAAGTCAAGGACAAAGTTCATTTGTAAATACAAACAACAAATTGTTTTACATGAGAGCGAGCAGGAAGAGAAACATGTAAATAAACTTAAAACTCAGACTTTTCTGTGTCATCAGTACATTCTGTGGCTCTGTTACTGTGAATGTGCCTATGACTATGAATGAACTAATCATTTCACTAAAAACAGTTAAGATCATTACATTTAAGATTTCACAAAATTAAAAAAATGACAGATTTTTAGGATCAAAATTGAACTTCCTGGTTGGAAATCATGACACATCTCATTACTTTTTTTTAAACAAAAGAAATGTTTTCTTATATTTTTTTAAAATCTTCTTTAAATAATCACTTAAAAATATATATAACAAAATGTGTTTCCTGCGTAAAATTTGTGCATAACTTTTGGACAGAATTCTCCCTGTAGCTTGAGATCAAGTGTAAGTCTCTACTTCCTGTAATTTTCAACATGTTTTAAACTTTTCTCCACAAATTGCTTCTTGGTTGGTTTAAAACTATAATTTATATTTGCACCAAGTATTATCCCAGTAAATGGAGTCAAAATTAGAGAATCATCCAAACCTGTCATACACTTTAATGTCAGGGTCATATTTAACACCAACACTGAACCAAATGTTCTCTCTCCTGTTGTAGTGATGGCCGCTGTGAGCTGTACTCTCTCTGAGGAGCAGTTCCTGTGCTCCATCTGTCTGGAGGTCTTCACTGATCCAGTCACTACACCGTGTGGACACAGCTTCTGCAGAGTCTGTATCAACAAACACTGGGACAGCAGCGACCAATACAACTGCCCAGTCTGTAAACAGGACCTGAGCTCTAAACCTCAGATAAAAGTCAACATTGTTCTGGCAGAGATGGTCTCTCAGTTCAGTGAAAAGCTTGAAGGTGAAGAAACTGTGAGCTCCAAACCCCACTCCTCTGCTGCAGGAGAGGTGAGCTGTGACGTGTGTCCAGAGCCCAGACTCAGAGCCCTGAAGTCCTGCCTGGTGTGTCTGGCCTCGTACTGTCAGATCCACCTGCAGCCCCACCTCACAAACCACCGTCTGAAGAGGCACCAGCTGATCCAACCTCTGCCCAACCTGGAGGAGCGCATCTGCCCTGAGCACGACCGACCTCTGGAGCTCTTCTGTAGGGAACACTCACACTTCATGTGCATGCAGTGTAAGGCTGAAGACCACAAAGACCATCAGACAGTCCCCCTGAAGGAGGAGGGTGAGGAGCACCAGGCCACGCTGAAGAATCAGATTAAAGAAAGACGTCAGAAAATCGAGGAGATCCAGCGCTCAGTGGAGCTCAGTCAGAGAAACGCAGACACAGAAATACAAGAAGGCCTCAGAGTTTACAACGCTTTGATGGAGTGTGTTCAACAAAGTCTGGACAAGTTCAAACAGAACATTGTAGAGAAGCACAAGAAGAACGAGGAGGAGGCAGCTCAGCTGATAGAGCAGATCCAGACAGAGATCTCTGCGCTGGAGCAGAGAGGAGCTGAGATGGAGCAGCTCTGGAGCTCTGGAGACCACCTGCTCTTTGTACAAACCTTCACTTCAGTCAAACCTGCTCCACAGCTCAATGACTGGACCGAGGAGACTGTGAGGGCCCCATCGTACAAGGGGAGAGCGGGCCAGGCTGTGTCTGAACTGAAGAAGACACTTAATACAGAGATGGAGAAGTTCTTTAAGGCTGAATTAGAAAAAGTACAAGAGTTTGCAGTGGAGGTGTTTCTCTAGACCCAGACACAGCAACATCCAAGATTTAGTTCTGTCTAAAAGATCTCAAAACAGGTTTCATTACACAGTGACCAAAGACAAACTCTTCCAGATAATCCTGAGAGATTTTCAATTTTTTTGTGTGTTTTAGGAAAACAAAAGTTCTCATCAGGAAAGTTTTATTTTGAGGTCCAGGTCAAAGGAAAGACTGGCTGGGAATTAGGAGTGGCCAAAGAGTCAGTGGACGATGAAGAAAGAAGATAGAAAGCAAGACTGTGAAGACGCAATCAAACTGTACAGAAAGGATACTGGACACTATGTATGGGCAGAGATGAGTATAAAACATCAGACGACCCCCTGTAGTTTTCCCTGTGAGTTCCTCTCCAGAGAAGGTGGGAGTGTTTGTGGATTATGATGAAGGTCTGGTCTCCTTCTATGACGTGGATGAAGAATCTCTTATTTACTCTTTCACTGACTGTGGTTTCACTGAGAACATTCTGCCACTGTTAAATCCATGTGGCAATGAAGGTGGTAAAAACTCTGCTCCTCTGATACTTTCCCTATTTAACAGTTCTGCAGAATAAAGATCATCTCATAGAAGAGAGATATCCATGAATCTCACTCCTGGTGGGAATAAAACAATTTAAAAAAATTACCAGGTAGTTGGATTTTTGTCATTTATTTATTATCAAGAAAGTTTTAGTTTATATTTAGTTTAGTTGATGTTTCTGCACAAACTGGATTCAATGTGCCCAAAGACAGAGGTCAGCTGACTCCCTGAATATATTAAAGGACCAGGTTACTCCATCATTTCTTCACTGGTTCTGGAATAATTTTCTAATTCTATGTTTCTATGTTTTCTTCTTTCTTGTTTACATTGTTTATGAAAAGATGATGAGGATTGTTAAATGAACTCAGTATAAACTTTTTATTTAGACGTCTGTAGTGTAATGTGCAGGGACGTTAAAGGACCCATATTACACTATTTCCTGATCTATGTTATAATGCTGTTACTTCTTCAAAAACCCACCCAGTGTTGTTGTTTTATGTACTGATAAATTGTATTAGTGAAGGAGGAGGGCGTCTATGAACTATACTCTTGTGTACAAAGAAGAGGATTTTTATCATGGACTTCCTTTGTCTCTCTTTTTAAGTTGTAATTACATGATAAATAGAGGAAAAGAAAACTAAGAATATTATGTAAACGCTTTTGATTTATGATTTTGTCACTGACTTGTTTTGTGTCACAATCTGTTATGGTGCAGGGATAATAAATGATATGGAGTAACCATGG